TTCATCATACATACAAAGTTAGTGGCATTTGGTTTGTTCATGTGATAGATAATCTAGTGATGTTTCAGGTAAATAAAAAGAATAATATTTATTGAATAAAAGATTGGAAATACAAACCTTGGCGTTCACACACATACATGAAAGCGTTATTACATGATATGTCATTTATTTTCTCGCCTTTGTGTGTGTTCCTATTAAAATTAAAAGAATACATGCAATAATTATGATTCTATTAATTCATTAAAATTGCTCGTCTAGTAATGTAATGATAATTATGCATAGCCATCAGGTCACTAAAATGTGACAACGATGATCGTCTTACGAAAGATGTACGCATGGTCCATCGCCGTCAGGTTGGTTTTCAGCAAATGGTTGATATGTAGCCATAGAACCACTCATTGTCAACAGCAGATTGCCAACGGTTCTGGGGCCAATCCAGATATTTTCATTGGTAATACCCTGTTCTTGCATCGAGTAGAGTATAATGATCATTCTCATCTTTCAAGTCAGCTAGCATCATACCCTGATCCATGCAGGATTTGGCAGCTTCTCTGTACTTCTTCTTATCAGTGAATATGCGGTATTGGTTGTCAGATACAGATGAAAACACAGCAGATTCTTTGTGAATAAAAAGATGCATCTGTTATGTGTTGTGTGGGGGCTCGTTTTCCGATTCTATTGATCGATATATGTTCACTGTTAACTGAGTATGTGTGCTTGTGGCTATTCTAGGAAGTATCCTTCACAAAGTGTCAATATTTGTATTATAAATAAAATTGAAGATATGTTTTCGTACCTCATAACATATATGTTTTCACGACAAATTTTGCAAAATCCGAGCTTACCATCGTAACATACGTATCCCAACTTCTGACTGCACTTCTCATCACCCCATTGATACCCTCTAGATTTCCTATAGTACAAAACATAGAATATCTACATCGGAAATACCAAATATACTTGTATTGAACTTATAAACAGCAAAACTCGTTATTATCGAGTCATCTTGTATTATTTCAGAATACAATAAATATACTATGTTATAATCCAAATAATATGAGGATATCCCTCTTCATTTGTTAAAACCGGTTATTTGGTTAGCGACCGTCTACCGGCGAATTAACATTCATGTATTTAGCCAGTATTTATCGAATTAAAGATGCATATTACCCACTCTTACTATCATTTGGTCTCACTTCGGGCTCAATTATAGAGCTGGTAAATGTGGGACAGGACCATTTCACAATGGAAGTGCTTTCATCTCGGTTTATAGGAAAGTAAATTATGTGGTTTGAACTAAGGTCATTCGAGGTGTAACCAGAACAATCGCTTTCGCATACTCGACGTCGGTATATGTAATAGCAATGAAAAACATTGTATAGACGATGCGATATGGGTACTTACCATAAATATAGACAGTCGCCGTTTCCATCAGGCTGGCCCTTTGCAAATGGTGTATACTCCAAAATAGTACCATCATTTGATACCACGTTAGAACCGCTTTTGATTGCATCAATGTGAAAATGCATGTCAAAGAATCCCAGTGACCGTATCTGAAATGTAATGGCAGCATGGGACATTTCACTGTCGTCTCTAGCAAGTACCATGCCAGCCGATTCGCATGCTTCACTTGATTCTTCACGGGTGCTCTTTATTGTGATCAGTTTGTATTTGGGTAACAGTGCAGCAAGGTCGGAATCTGTATATTACAAACAAAGTGTTATTGGGTGTTTATTTGTAATGTTCAGACGTTACCATGGTCTACTGAAATAATACCAGCATTAAAAACTACTTTATTTTCTGATCTAAAAATAAATTCTTTGAAACACAAATATTTGAAACTATTTTACGTATTTCTATTGTATTATGTCATCTCATTCAATGTCATATTTTTTTTTTATTTTACAAAGATAGAGGTGTGTTTTGAATGTGTATGATAATACCTCAAACAAAGCTGATAAATTCAATACATTTTGCCTATTATCGTCTCAACTGTTTAACGTCGTCATATTTCGTGATCCACAAACACAATACTAAACATCACCGAACAGTCAACACAACTCTCCTAGTTTACTACAGGACTACTATGTTATCTTTTCTTCACACGCGACCCTGCTCGACATTGTACGACAAGTGGTTCTACAAATAATTGCAGAACATGTGCGATGAAGCTATAATATAATCATATCTTACCAATGGTTTCACACACGTACATGAGGCTGGTTCCACAGCTAAAATCGTCATACTTTAAATCATACCTCTCCCTACAAACAAATGCAGATGATAGAACATTAATATCATATTACGTAAACTACAAACCCATCGTATGACGGGTTTATTCCCACTTCTAGCAAAATGCAACAATCGATTGAACCATTGGATATGTCCACTTAATAAACACCGCCCACAGAAAAATTGGCGTGTAGTGAATACGTTGTGCTGCCATATATATATTTGAATATCATATAGAGTGAGTGAATAACAGAACGCTTCGAACGTTCGAAATATAATAGAATTATCGAATTATAGTACAGTCAGTGCATGCAAGAACTCCACACTAGCCTGAGGTGTTGCTGAGGTGATCAAACAAAATCAGGCAAATCTTAAAATGGGTACGAATAACTCACCAAAGGTCAATACAGTCACCATTACCATCGGGCTGGTTGGGTGCAAATACTTGGTAACCGGCATTTCCGTAAATTGTTTTGACGTCTCCGTCGATCTTTCTGATACCGAACCAGAAACTGTTCCTTTCCAGTCCCTGGTCTTTGATCATGTCAACTACATGATTATAGTCACTCTCGTCTTTGATGACAGCGAGCATCATACCCTTTCTATAGCACGCCCCGTAGGCATCGTCGCCGTTTACTTTGTCAGTAAAAAGTTGATATTCTAGGAATAAAAATTGTAAACATACATTCAATAATATTATTGCGTGTCGAGTGGTATTCAATATACTACTACCGATGTGACACGCCAGATACGTCATTGTTGTGACGTACATAGATTCTTACACTGTATGTTGACTGAATTTGAATTTGTGATATACAACCTGACCATCTGATTCTACAATACATTTACGACGAATGCTTATTCAGATAACCGCGGTCAGATACAACATTCCTGTTATCTTAATATAATCGCGTGGCTCCAGTTAAACATATACTTGTTATATATTTAGACGAGAAATTAAAACGTTAGAAAGTCAGAAATACATACCCGCTACTACAAGAGCCAACAATGGCAGGAGTCGAAGAGCAATCGACAACATTGTGACGTTGAATGTTGATGAACGTTTTGATCACCTTATATATATACTTCATACGTAGGTAGCAGCTTGCATCTGTTTGAGAAATAAACTATTTTTAACACACATGTGGATCGTGTATGAATACTTAATTATTCGTCGTTTTAAAATAATAATATTAAGTGCGGCATATTGTTTGTGAATGATAAAAATAAATAAATATTATTCCATGTTATCAATAAATAATATGAAATTTAAATCGTAATATTGGCGATTTTTTAATGATTCTTTATGAGTGTATTTCGTCTTTCTATGCGATATAGCATATCTAGTTAACCGACGACTTACTATATGTATCTGAATATTTACTACATTCGTGTTTTATTTGTTTTAATATGTTTCGTGTCGGAGTTAATAGATGTGCTATTTATTGTTTTTTACAATGTCACGCAACATCTTCGCATTTTACATTCGATTACTTGAGGCCTAAAACTAATTAGATCAATTAAATGTATTAATTTATTTCCCAATATTTTACTATAATTATACCACACTAAAAAAACACATATATGAAATAAGACCAGCATGTAATGCGCCGTAATATTCGTGTGTATGATTCAAGCTATATGCTCACAGTGTGAA